ACCTTGTCACCATGTGCTTCGGCATCGCCACTGGCCTCGGTCTTCTAATCCTGATGTGGTTTCTATGGAGACGTCAACGACTGCATTCTCTTTCTTCGTCAAGCGGCGAGTCTTGAGAGCGACGAAAGTCGTCTCTACAAACCCGAGGATGTAAGAGGTTTCCGCTCGATCCTATCACGGCCTTGGCGTTTGCCTGTGCCTGTATTGTCTGTTACACCATTGTACTGTCTTCGGAGGGCTACGGCTACGGAACTTTGTTGTTCTTTGTATGGGTTCCTCAGCAGCTGCGCTACGGAGCAGGCCTCGCAGCAATACTGACCTTTCAGTCCCTCCTTGCCACGCTTATGCAAGTGGAACTGATGTTGTTCACGCTGATGGTTGCTGGCCTGTGCGACGCCGCTTCAGTGCAGTTGCAAATCGTGCAGCGGGAGGTGCTTGAAATGTATTTCAAAGACGAGACCGGCTCAACAGACAGCCCTCAATGGAACAGCTCAAGGAGTGACGATCCTCCAAGACTTGAAGAGGGAAAAGGTCGTGTGTGGGCCATCGACATCAACTCAGAAACAAAGCAGGGAGATGCCATCTCTGCTGGCGCCAAGAAGGCGTGGGTGCTGGAAGACGCAAGCGCTCTCGAAGAAGGAATGGCGGGTCCTTCTTGTGAAGAGCGAACCCAAGACAGGATGTCGCCGCTCCCGGCGCTGACTCGGCCTTTGGCTCTGGCCCGACCAGCCCCGCTCCGTTCGCCGCCGCTGACCCGGCCGTGCGGCTGCAGCGCCTCTCGGAGCGGTACCGGCGCGTGTTCCTGCTCGTCTCGGAGACCGTGTCCGTGTTCGGCGCCCCGCTGCTCGGCCTGCACGCCGCCGTGGCCGCCATCCTGCTGCTGGCCGGCTACGTGGGCGCCGGCCACCTCTCTGGCCGCCGCGGCCTGTCGGTGGACGTGGCCGGCCTCTCGCTGGTCATGGTGTACTGGTTCGTCTGTCTGCTCACCGTCAACGTGTCCGGCAGCGGCCTGCTGGAGCGCTCCCAGGAGCTGCACAGCGCGCTGGCCAAGCAGTGCTGGCCGGCGGCGCGGGGGCCGCCCAGCGGCGCCGGCTGGGCGCGCTGCTCGAGCAGACGCGCGGCCCGCTGACGCTGCACGTCTGCGGCGTGTTCACCGTCAGGAAGGAGGCCCTGCTGTCCGTGCTCAGCTTCGTACTCACCTACTTTGTCATCATGATGCAGATGATTCGCTGAAGGAGTGGTGCAGCGTCGCATCTGCTTCAACTAATTCAATGGTCTGAGCTTCGCCTATGTGGCTGATGTCGATTCCAATTTCTAATGCTTCAAAGTGTGGATTGTCCTATAATTTTCGAGAAGATGATTTTTGAGTCCAGTCTTAATTACAGTTATAGACAGGATAGTGCATCGTTGTAAAATTCTTAGTGCACCTTTTCATCATTGGAGCTTATCTATGGCCACCTCTCTAGAACGTTGTAGGAATGAAACTGAACTAGGTTAGGTGATGGAAAAACGTTCGCGTTTGGATATGCATGTCCATAGAGTAGGGTAAGGGCGGGTAAGAGTACGCGGGCGATAAGAGTACGCATCAGCTGTTTCGGTTGCTTAGCAACGCGGGTTTGTCGAGTTCATGAAGTGACATGAAGCCGCCAGTGCGTGCATGTCACCAACGGAACGTGGGCGTTGAGCGGCGACGCTGTTGAGTTTAAGGCGATGAATATTATTTTCGAGCGTTATGATATTATTATGATATGGTACAATAATTTTGATACTTGGCAGTTGAGATGAGGTACATTTCCGTGATTGTTGTGGGAAACTTGTGAGGTTATCTGGGGAAATATTGTACAGTGCAACATTCTGTTTGCGAAGTTTTGCACAACGTTTCGGGGTTTTTGTGCGCGAATTGCATGTACGGTAAGAGGACGCACTGCTCAGGAGAGTAAGAGTACGCAGAATTATACATTAAATCGAATATGCAGAAATATATAATTATTAACCCGCGCCCCACTGGGGGGCTATTTATAGCCCCCCTCCCGTTTTTCTGCAATAACTTCCAAACCGCTTGACGGATCGACGCCAAACTTTCAGTACCTTCGGCTGCATCAATTTGACACCTTGTGTCAAAATTTGAACTTCGTAGCTACCATAGGTCGGCCGGAAATGACGTCAGAGTGACGTCATGTTCGTCCGATTTCGACGCAAAACATTGAACCACGGCAATCGCTCCCAAGAGCTCAGTTTTTAAGCTAGATCCAATTTCTTTGAATGAAAGGACTCAGAATTGACGGCGCTATCAAACTGCTATCTCGGATTTTCAAAATTTTGAAAATTTCGAAAATCTTATATAATAATATTCAAAATTTATATTTTTACATTTTTTTTTTCAAAAAGTTTTTGACTTTTCGAAAAAACCAGAATATATGTGACAGAACGCATGATTATGACTAATTCTAGCAAATTTTAGCTAAATATCTTCAAAAATGGCCAAGTTATACGCATTATTGCAAAAAATTCACAATTATTAATTTTTCAAATCAATTTTTCAGTACGTATTTGACATCGTACACCAATATTGGCACCATCGTGTTCCTGAGCTCAAACTGCATCCAATAGACACCTTTTTTGTTGAAAAATTTTAACTTCAAAATTTGACCTTTTTTGACCTGAAAGTGACCTGACCTAAGCTACATTCGACTCAAAATGACCTCGAATGACACAGACGACATCAAATTCGAAATCTATGGCCTAAATGGACCATAAAACATGTGTCACGTGACCGACGCATGATATAATATTTTCGTGACCTGTGATGACCTGACCCTGACCTGAAAATCAAAGTACAAGTTTGGTACCCTCAAGATATCTAGAGCATCTGTTCACGAGTGTGGAAACCAAAAATGAGCCTGATCTGACTTGTAAGACGGCGGCCAGAGCCCAAAATGTGAACAAGCCAAAGTGCTAATAATTTTTAATTTGACCTGACCTGTGACGTCATCGGTGACCTCGAGGTCAATGAAATTAGGTTTCGCTCGACAGTTTTTCCGGGGCTATCAGACGCCGTTTGAATTTTGACGATCGACCCAGTAGTTTCGGAGTTAGGAGGGGGGGCTATGAATAGCCCCCCCCCAGTAGGGCGTGTTATACACAGACCCCAGTGGGGCGCGGGTTAATCTATCGCTCAATGACGTTTGTTTTGTAGGTATATCATCAATGGAGCACTGTGATGCAGATGCGTACCCGAAATTCTTCCAAATACGAGTTATTCTCCTTTTGATTGTGCATTTTTTTTTAAAGAAACACACGACATGATTATTTCCTGATTTATAGACTTCAAAAGATTTATTTTATATTTTTCTTTTGGGATACTAGAATTAACTTAACCCTATTCCTGGCGGGCTCCGCCGGGACAAGAAACTGGCGGGGGGGGGCCGATTCGGCCCCCCCCTGAGATCTCGAGAACGAAGCAAGATAGCGACAAGCGGTAAACGGCATCGGATACGCATGGACAAGGTCTACAATTTTTACTAAGGTCATTTTCAGGTCAGGTCAAAGATGACGTCACAGGGGTCGAAAAGTCAAAATGGCGGCGCTAGATATGGAGAGTTTTTCTCGAATAACTTTCGAATTAGTCAAGATAGGAACAACTAAGGGCATCATCGTGATCCTCTCGTCAATCCGCATCGAATGGTATATATGTTGACCTCGAAAGGTCAAGGTCAAAGGTTGACCTCAGGTCACGTGACCTTGAGGTCATCATGTATATCATTCGATGCGTCTTGACGAGCTGAACACAATGAGACCAGCCACGCGTCTGTATCTTGTTCCTGTACGGAGTTATTGGCCAAAAACCTTTGGTGACCTTTGATGACGTCACATGACCTCACAGCTGCCCAACAGCAAAACAGACCTCAAGGTAGTGAAGGTTGATCGTATATGAAGTCATGTATGGTATATGGGGCCATTCCGACCCGTTTTAGTGGTAAAACAGGGAGTTGATTTTTCCCCCATTGACTTATAATGGGGAGGTCGCGAAATTGACCTGACCTTAGGTCACCGATATCAAAATTCCGAGATATACAAATTGCATATACTGGTACCCTAACTAAAGCCTGAAGAGAAGAAACTGATCGGTCAAAAACTCTAGCTCTGGCGTGATTGCAAACTTTTCTGAGGTAGGGTCACCAAACCGCCTCTGGTGACCTGACCTGAGGTCAGATCAACTCAAAATTTTCAGACATGTTGCGTAGAAGCCTTATAGGAAAAGTCAGAAAATTTGAGCTTCCTAGCTCAACGCGTTTGGGAGAAATAACCAAAAAACCTCAGGGGGGGGCTTCTGAGGCCCCCCCCGCCAGGAATAGGGTTAAATGCCTTCTGAGTTTGAAGTTAAGCATTTGGACAGTGCAAGCTGCATAGTGTGTGTTCATATGCTTGCGTACTCCACCCGCCTGGCGTGCGTACTCTTACACACCCCATATGGTAAGAGTACGCAAGTGCAACGGTTCAGAAAATGTCAGTTTTAGACCACTTCCATTTACGCTGAATCGTTGCCCCATGGGTTGATGGCTAATTCAATGAACTTTAATATTCCCTATTTGCGATTTCTTTCCTTCAAATATTAAACAAATGAGAGCAAGAAGTCCACTAAGTGCGTACTCTTATACGACTTCACCCTATCTTGTATTCCTTCGTATGAATTACATGTATTTCTTCTCTCTCCCTCTCTCTCTCTCTCTCTCTCTCTCTCTCACTCTCTATTTCTCTCTCATCTTTCTAAAAGTTATCGTGACATTCACATTCATGTATTGTAAGCAAATAAAACACTGCTGAGTGAAAACCCTGATGATTGCAACCAACCCGTTATCACATTTCCACAACTATGTATCATCGCACTGGTGCCATGGTTGACACATGGCACAGAATATCACAGCCTGTGACACTAGCACTCCGTGCACCATTGGGCCATCGAAGACAATTACTCGCGGCACATGCGCAGAGATACACAGGCATGGATGACACTTCACAGTTCACACTCGCTGGGAATGATGAATACACAGACTCAGACGATAACGGTGATGTCATCATCGTCATCTGACCACTCCATCTGCAAAAAAAGAGAAAAGATATGTTAGTATATCGACTTACAGAAATAACGGGCGATCTTTAGTCAATGCCCTTTTGGAAACTCAAGTTGTCTGGTGAATGGATTCCATTGAGCTTATCTTTTTTTACTAATCGATATCTAAGCGCATCTTTCGATATACGAACCACAAACTAAATTCTGACGAACGCACACATTTTATAACGCTACTAGAGGTACAGGTTTACGCGATAACTGTATGTTTTGATTTATGTTATGTTACGGGTGCATTAGTTTGGGTGATTGACTTGTATTTTTAGATGTATTATTTGGATAGATTTGGGTAGCTGTTTTTAATTAAACTATAAGGGTTGGTGATATGTGCGGGGTGTTCAAGTGTTTTGTATGTTAGGCCCTTTTTGAACTTAACCCTACCCCTACCCTACCCTACCCTACCTTACACTAACCTACCCTACACTACCTACCCTACCCTACCCTACCCCTACCCTACCCTACCCTACCCCTAACCTACCCTACCCTACCCTACCCTACCCTTCCCCTACCCTACCCTACCCTACCCTACCCTACCATACCCTTACACTACCCTACCCTACCCTACCCTACCCTACCCTACCCTACCCTACCCTACCCTACACCCTACCCTAACCCTAACCCTACACTACCCTACCCTACCCTACCCTTCCCTACCCTACCCTACCCTACCCTACCCTACCCTACCCTACCCTACCCTACCCTACTACCCTACCCTACCCTACTACCCTACCCTACTACCCTACCCTACCCTACCCTACTACCCTAACCTACCATACTATACCCTACCCTACCCTACCCTACCTAATTCTACCCTACCTAACTCTACCCTACCCTACGCTACCCTACCCTACCATACCCTACCCTACTACCCTACCATACCCTACCCTACCCTACCCTACCCTACCCTTCCCACCCTACCCTACCCTAGCTTACCCTACCCTACTACCCTACCCTACCCTACCCTACCTTACCCTACCCTACCCTACCCTACACTACCCTACCCTACCCTACCCTACCCTACCCTTACCCTATCCTACCCTACCCTACACTACCCTAACCTACCATACCCTACCCTACCCTACCCTACCCTACCCTACCCTACCTACCCTACCCTACCCTAACCTACCCTACCCTACTCCTACCCTACCCCTACCCTACCCTACACTACCCTACCCTACCGTATACCCTACCCTACCCTACCCTACACTGCCACCGACAGTCCAAGTTTCAGCTAAATCGGCCCAGAAACGGCTGAGATATTACAGAAACAAATTAATTGTATTTACTGGCGAATCCCCTTGGCGAGCGGTGCCTTGTGTCGGCCTTCGTTGTCAAAGGTCAACGACCTCCCGGCTCTGATGCTTTTGACTCAGTTTTTAAGCGAACAACTGAGCCTAAAGCACGTGCCCTCTGCTCGGCGCCGGTCGCGGCCCCACCACGTGCACACCGCTGAACCCACACCCTCGAAAATTTAATACGACAAATGAATGCACGCGCTCGACTTGGCATGAAAATTTCACCCCCGTAGCCCTTACCGTTTCCGAGCAATAGCCTGTTTTTGCCGATTCTAATGCTAACCCTATGGCGCACATGAGCACGCGCCACGGGCGCACCCCCGGCCGCATCGTGCCCAAAATTTAATACGACCTGTTCATTTACGTGACCCACGACTGATAAAAATTTCACCCTCCTGCGTCAATCGACGGCTTTGCAATAAGCCTTTTAGGGAGTAACCCCGACGGCGTGGGCGGCGGACTTTTTAAGATTTATAATAGTAGATAGACTAGAGGTACAGGTTTACGCGATAACTGTATGTTTTGATTTATGTTATGTTACGGGTGCATTAGTTTGGGTGATTGACTTGTATTTTTAGATGTATTATTTGGATAGATTTGGGTAGCTGTTTTTAATTAAACTGTAAGGGTTGGTGATAGGTGCGGGGTGTTCAAGTGTTTTGTATGTTAGGCCCTTTTTTAACTTAACCCTCCCACCCCCCTACCCTACCCTACCTACACTACTACCCTACCCTACCCTACCCCTACCCTACCCCTACCCTACCCTACCCTACCCTACCTACCCTACCCACCTACCATACCCTACCCTACCCTACCCTACCCTACACTACCCTACCCTACCCGACCCTACACCCTACCCTACACTACCCTACCTACCCCTACCCTACCTACCCTACCTTACCCTACCCTAACCTACCCTACACTACCCTACCCTACCCTACCCTACCCTACCCTACCCTACAATCCCCTACCCTACCCTATCCTACCCTACCCTACAATCCCCTACCCTACCTACCCTACCCCTATACACACCCTACCCTACCCCTACATACCCTACCCTACCCCTACACTACCCTACCCCTACCCTACCCTACGCTACCCTACAATCCCCTACCCTACCTATCCTACCCTACCCTACCCTACCCTACAATCCCCTACCCTACCCTACCCTACCCTACCCACCCTACCTAACCTTACACTACCATACCCTACCCTACCCCTACCCTACACTACCCTACCCTACCCTACTCTACCCTACCCTACCCTACCCTACAATCCCCTACCCTACCCTACCCTACCCTACAATCCCCTACCCTACCCTACCCTACCCTACCCTACCCTCCCTACCCTACCCACCCTACTCCCTACCCTACCCCTACCCTACCCCTATCCTGCCCTACCCCTACCCCTACACTACCCTACCCTACCCTACCTACCCTACCCTACCCTACCCTACCTACACTGCCACCGACAATCCAAGTTTCAGCTAAATCGGCCCAGAAACGGCTGAGATATTGCAACACCAGCTGCCGGACATTGGTCACGTGACCACATTTTCCGTGTGACCTTGAGTTGGCACCAGATTTTGTCGACAGACGTGGCGCAGCTTATTTTACTGCATTATTTTAGATACTAAATATTTAGGCGTGTGGTGATAAATGATACCGTGCAAATAATATTGAATCATCGGTGACATAGTTACCATTGATACTTAAATAGCATCAATAAAATGCAATTAATCATTATTACTCTTCCATTGATTTAATTGTGTTTGCAGGCATAGGTAGAAACTGAAAAGCTGAGCCTGCAGCTTACAGTTGTTCTATACAGTAGCGGCGGAACACCTTCAATTAAGGGGGGGGGGGCACTGCCGACTTTCGGTCCGATTCTTTCCATGCAACGCCCGTAGGGCTAATGTTAAAATGCCAAAATTATAGGGGGCACGGTGCCCCGGTGCCATCCCCGTTCCGCCGCCTATGGTTCTATAACTCTTAATGCATAAATCAATGCTACTGAGGGCTGCAAATTTGTTTTTTACCTATATTTAATAACTGATGCCCTACCTTCATCTACCATTATCTGTAAGAATCTTGCATCAATCATCACCAGACTTCTTAGTTTTTTTTTACATACCTACGCCCCAGCCGCGAGAGTGGGCGGGTACGACTCCCTCGCCTTAATTGAGCTAGGCTCGCGGGAAAAACGAGCATGTGTGCCGTTACGGACCGGGGACGCAGCGATTGATGCACGGTTTAAAAGTCTCAGGTCAACTGATGCCCTCTGAGGGTCAGGTCAAGTGCCCCGAGGGCCAAAATACGATTTCGGGTTTTGAAAAATAACTTTGTCAAAAACGGCGCAGAGTCGCTATTTTAGTACCATCATGTTTGTCATGCTCCGGTGCGTCAAAAGGTACACTTTTGTTTGGGTGGGGTCAACATAAGGTGTTCACATCGGATCAAAGCCAGGTCAGAGGCACTCAGGTCACGAACTTGGTCGGAGGAGGTTATATCGCATGGCGATTCGGTAGGTCTTCCCGAGTCTATTGGCGACTTTTCCGACTTGCCAGCTCAATTTTATCAGGAGTTATTGACGAAAAAACTTGTGACATTTGTGACGTCATGAATGACGTCACGCGAGGTTAAAGATGCAAAAGTGAAGCATTGGACATTGCAAGAATTGCATGAAATTGCGATTCCATGTGCTTGAGCTAGGTTTAGATCATTGTCGGCGTCAAAATTACAGTTTCCATATTTTCCCCATTGACTTGTAATGGTGACGTCGCGCGATCGGCCTGACCTCATGTGACCTCTAGGAGAAATCTGAGATATACAAGTTTTGAGACTCCTAGAGGATACTAGGTCCTGTAAGTATCAGCTCGCTGTGACAGCTCCTCTGGCACCGAGGGCATTGCGAAGTTTCGGTATTTTGGGACTACTGCAGAGGTTCACGTGTGACGTCATAAGTCAGTGACCTGACCTGAGACGGAAATGCCTGACCTGAGACGGTTTCCAAAGATGCGTATGGAAGCAAAGATAAGGTGTGCCAAATAGCAGCCCTCTAGCTGTAAGGTGTTTTCAGCTATCGCCAAAAGTCGTGAGTGGAGCGCTACTGACTCCTCCGGTCGGCCGCCGGGGGTAAGGAGGCGTGCAGGGTATCGGAAAACCACCTGGTACTTTGCGAATTTTGCCGATAAAAATACGTTTCTTCCAACTTGTAGCCAAAAGACTACTGAATCTCAAACCAGTCGTATCCTTGCACTAAATGGCTTGGTTTAGACACGATAGGTCTGAAAAGAAAGGTCCCATGTATTCTCTATGGCGCCGCGAGGCCGTTGGCACCAGAGTTTCGGGAAGTGCCCTCGCCACAACCGCACGTGCAGATTTGGTCACGTGACCAAGCGCATTTGCCGCCACTGTATTTATATACACTGTGGCAAACACAAATTTATCGTATTTACTGGCGAATCGCCTTGGCGAGGGGTGCCCGGCGCCGGTATTCGTTGTCAAAGTTCAACGACCTCCCGGCTCTGATGCTTTTCACTCAGTTTTCCAAGCGAACAACTGAGCCTAAAGCACGTGCTTTCTGCTCGGCGCCGGTCGCGGCCCCACCACGTGCACACCGCTGAACCCACCCCCTCGAAAATTTAATACGACAAATTAGTGCACGCGACCGACT